CACACCGCTAATGGACTGCTTTGGGGTGAGCACATCACAGCCTGCTCCCCTTTGCACTGGGAAATCATGTTGGATATCTGTTGTGGTTTGATCCCAAGCTGTGCATGCAGTCCTGAGTTCTGGAGCCATGCTGCCCCATCCCTTGGTGCTCTGTGTGTCTGGCCATGCTGCCAGCTGCCTGCTGGCCCATCACCGCTGTGCCCACGCTTCCACAGAACATCTCCAATCCCTGCTGTGCCCATGCTCCCGTGGGGCATCCTGTGCCACCCATTCCCATAGGATACAACAAAACCCAGAGAAGCTCCAGAGCCAAGCGCCACTCATCGCGTTTGATCCAGACACAAATGCTCTCAGACACAGCTTTCTCCAGGGACAAATAGTGACGCTGCCTGCAGGGACCAGGACACGGTGCTCCAAGTGTGCTTCAAACATTCCAGTCCTCACGCACCTCCTTTCGGGATCAAAGCAGTTCCTTCTGCAAAAAGCACGTGTGTCCTGAAGCAGCCACAGGCCACGGTTTGGCGTGGGGCTCACACCCAAAGCCTCCTCCTGCTGCTCCATCCTCATCCCTATCTCCTGGCTGGTTTTGTTCCCCATGTGCAGAGTGGACTTGATCATCATTTCTGGGAAGAGACATCGCTGTGGTTAAACTGCCTAAACACGAGTGTGGGAATCCAGAGTCAGTTGGCTTTGCACTTGGCTGTATTTGGTCTGTGGGATGCTTTTGGAGCAATCTGTAGTCTGATCTTCCTCTTTGCAGGACAAGGGCGCTGGGACAGAGTGGGAGGGGGGCCACACATCTGGAGTGGAAGGAGTTGCACATTTGGTACATTCAGTACTTCCTAAAAGTCACTGCCACGTTACCCTTTGGATGGGGGCCTGGGGCTCGCTGCATAGCACAGCAGATCAGCATCTGCAGCTGCATTCCTTTTGAAGGGAAAGCAAAAATATCCCTTTCAGCGGAGTCTCAGCTCCCTGTAACATCCAGCACGGGAGCAGGGGGACTGCATGGAGACTGTGACCTTTCTGCAAGTCAACTGCAGAGGCTCCTGCTGCCAGCCAAGGCACAGAGCAGCCAGCTGGGGAGTGTCTCCCCGAGGACCACAGGGATGGACGCTCCCGGGACCTCTACAGCAAAACCTTGTCCTTCTGCCAGCCCAAGTGGGCTCGGCCAGCATAAGGGGGTGGCTTGTGCCACCCATGGCCAAGGAGATGCTCGCTGTGCATCCTTGCCCATGTGGGCTGGCTCCGCGGAGGTCCCAGCACTGGCGGGACCATTCCTGCAGAGGGACACGGTGCCAGTCACCCGCTCGCCGGCTGTCACTGCCCATCACCAGTGTCAGGGACACTCACACACACACACAGCAGCCCGCTCCCTTTCCAGCAGCGCGGGGTGTGCTCTGCACACACGGGAGCAGCGGCTGAAGGCACCGGACATGCCAGCGCCGCCCACATCCCGGCGCGGCTGTGGGTGCATCCATGAAAAGCTGGGCAATGGGGACATCTAGTGACCAGTCCGAGGAGGTCACGGATGGGGACCGGGTGGCCCCCCCGGGGCCGGGGGGATGCAGCCAGGCAGCGCTGGGGTGATGCCTTCCATCCCTGTGGCCAAGGAGAAAATGGGATTGGGCATTCGTCTCTGCCACATCACACAGAGATCTCCCAGAAACTCTACCTCTGCCCGCACCGGAGGCAGGAAATTGAACTTGCTAATGGAGCATAAACTGGTAATTAGCATAATTAAAAGTGACTAGCGTGGATACAATAACAAACGCCAGAATAACAGCTCAAAGAGAGTATGAAATTTAAAGAGTCTCCCCGGTGGAAGTCACTTTCCCTTAGGGGAAACGGTCTATTTTTTTCCAGCCTTATTTTGTACTAGATTTGCAAATACAGTCGGGGGGGGAGGGGGGAGGGAAGCACAAAACAATACTCTAAACAATTTTGGGTGAACAACAAGGATATGCAGGGGCAGTAGGGACTTTCAGCAGAGGCCAAGAGGCTGAGCACAGACCTCAACTGGCCCCTCTCTGATGAAGACCCCCACACTCCAAGGTCAGGGGAAAGCATTGGACCAATACTCTCCAGTCAAAGTCAAAATATCTCCCTAAATAATTCATTCCTAAAGAGTTTGACTGGGTTGGTTGCTTCCAGAAAATGTCGAATCATTCTGGCTGGATAACAATGCATTGCTTTGGGAGAGAAATGCAATGTATTAAAGCTATTCTGTTGATTAAGTGGGACGTTCACCTTGCACTGAATATTCACTCCAATATTAGAGATTTTTCCTAGTGGCGTGGCTGTGGATGCATTCTCACAGTATTTTAAGTTCATCCAAAATGGAAACCCAAGACTTATCACAAATGAAAGCAAAGCACTGAGGCTCCTTCCAAAGAAAATAGCAAATCTCCTTTTGAGTCATCCCAAAGAAATCAAAGCTGAGTTTGATACATTCCTTGTGATTTTGTTGTTATCCCTGTTGTGATCAACATGCTCCCAGGAGATGCTGCATTGGTTTCAACACCTTTCTTCAAACCTCACTGAAGCCCAGATGATGATGGATAAGCTGACTCCCACATAACACTGCTGTTTCATCTTTTTTTTTTTTTCTTTTTAAATTTGCAAAATAACCTTGGCAGTGTGACCCCCCAAAGAAAAGTTGTGAAGTCAAAGGAAATGCCAGAAGAAGGGATGCTTCGGGGTGTCCTGTGCAGGATCAGGAGCTGGATTCGATGAACCTTATGGATCCCTTCCAGCTGAGGATATTCTGTGATTCTACAAATGTGCAGTGCTCCTGTGAGGTGACCCAGGTGACTGCTACTGCCTGGACCATCCCTTGTCCCCCTGTGGCCGCATCCAGCATTCCCTGGAGCACTCCCATGAGCACAGATCCTTGTGGCAGCAGAAGCCTTGACACGACATCTCGGACACCTGCCTGATGCCAGAGCAATGCTCATATCCAGGCTCTTCTCCCTCACCACTGATTCCTGGGTGGCTTTTCCACAGCCTTCCTGGGTGATGGATACCAGCAGGCTGAGATGGGGATGGTACCCAGAGGAGGGTTATCCATGGTTTTGCTGGCGTGGGGATGGGTGCAGAGGTATTGCTGCAGTCTGCTCCTCCTCTCCAGCAACCTCGGATCTCAGCTGCATCTGGCAGACCCAATCTGGCATCTGCTATTTTGGGCAGCGCTGTCTCAGTGGAGGTGGGGAGAGCAGAGGAATTCAGGGCAGCCACGATCTGCAGGCACTGTGCAAAGCCATTTCTGTGTCCAGGACGCCGTCACGCTCCCCGGCCTTCCCCAGGTGTCCGAATTCCACAGCCTTGTTGGCCTGAGATGGATTCCTCAGTCCTGGTCAGCGTGATTCTGCTGCTGCCATGCCTCCATCGCCTCGTGAAGAAGCTCTCCTCGTGTTCCAGCTTGTCCTACAGCCCCACGGAGGAACTGGGAACAGCAGGATGGGCTGACTCCCTCCATGCACCATCCCTCTCTGAGGGGACAGCACCCCAGGCCACCATGCAGGGTGGTGGCAGTGGGATGTGGAGCTTTTGCCGTGGCTCACCCCCCAGGCCACAGGGGTGGTTATTTTCACTGGGTGTCACACACAGATATTTCATTCTTCCAGCAGGAAAAACACTTGGTCTAAAGTAGAGCAAGGAACAGAAGATGAGAAGTGCCCACAGCTGACTCGCCACCTTGGCAGGTGGTTCTGTGCTTTGCTGGCCAGTTGGCGACTTGGAGGAGGCCCAGTTTGGTGCCTGCCTCCCTCCATCCTCAGCATCAGCACAGATACATGGGGGAGGTGCCAGCAAAGGCTGCCAGCTCCACCTGAGCCCCTCAGCACTCCTCACAGCACCCTGCTCCCCTGGATGGGGAACCAGGGGATGCTCTCAAGCCTGTGTGGCTGCTGGGCCACCCAAAAGGCACAGCTGAACCCAAAGTGCCAGGGAGAGCAGGGCAAGGAGCTGGACACAAGCAGCAAAGCACCAGATGAAGGATCTGGGAGCACCTTTAACCACAGAAGCTTGGAATGCCCTGGAGAGCTGAGCATGCACAGGTTTTGAGACACCCGGACAGAGCAAACCCTGATGGTCACCCACACAACCTTTCTGGGCTCCTGAGCTGTGCTCTCATCCCTACCAATTCCCTGCTGGAGCCCACAGCCCCCTGCCCATCCTCAGCTCCACTGATACAGTGACATTGCCTGGGATCCCTGATACAGCCTGTGTGAGTGCTGAGCAGGATGTGCTGGAGACAGGAGGAGAAGTGGCCCAGCATCCTGGCAGGAGAAGGGTGGGAAGCTGCCAGTGGTGCCTGCTGGTACTGAGGGTTAAAGAGAGGGAAAGGCCAGGAAATCTTGGGGCTCACCTGGAAAAACAATGTATTTCCCAAGTGATACAGTGCAAAAATATACTGTGTGGCTGCTTCAGCTGTTTGGGGACATGGTATATCATGGTCCCTTCATTTGCAATCCAGGAAAAGGGACAGTCAGGAATTAACAGATGGAAAACGTGTTTCCCTGTTGGAGAGGTAGGAGAGAGAAGCAAAGCCTGGAAGTAAAAGGCAGGGCTGGGCAGAGAGGGTCTTGGGGAAGGATGTGGGACACACACATGGCAGATCTGTCCAGACAAGGGGGAACTGAGAGATGATGGTAGTCACAGCATAATTTATAAAATAATCTGAAGGAAAACCAAAGGATTATGCAAACCAGTAACTCTCCTTTTGGAAAAAAAAAAAACCAAACAAACCAGAAAGCATGGAATCACTCAGGAAGTGCATTGGTCATGTGGACCTTCTCTAAAAAAAAGAAACAAAAAAAAATTATGATGGTGATGATAAATAATAATAGCAATAATAATGATAATAATAAAAAAATGGAGAACTCTTGCATACAACCCCCACCTTCCCTCCAACCAGCTAAAAAGTTGTGGAAGGATGCAGAGGGAAGGATGGGGCATAGTCGGGGCAAGCCAGGAGAAGAACAGTCGGAGCCCATCGGTACCAGAGCTGCACAGACATTTATTGAACACAAACAACAACAAACACAACCGGCTCACAGAGCTTCCTGAGCTATCGTCCAAAGGTTTTTCTTGTGGGGGATTGCCAAAAGAGTGCTTTCAAAGGCCCCTGGGGGTATGAATCCCATATAGCTGAGTTCTTCCCACTTCCAGGTGCTCATTAGTTAAAAGAACATGAGCATTTGTGTGTATGTGTGTGTGTGTATGTGTGTGTGTGTGTGTGATTCCCTTAGTTTAGTGGGAAAAAGGGCTTGTCTGGACCATGCCATGTTCCAAGAGAGAAGCCTGTGGGTTGAACCTGCACTTGGCTTCTGCTTCCCAAATAACACAGGGTGTAAAGCATGCCCTTACCCAGAGGGCAGGGGCGTGAGGTGGCTAAGGTGAGCCAGGACAAGCAAGGGGGAAGCACCAAAGGAAGGAGGGTGAGAAAAGTTAAGTCATCTGAAGCAGGCACAGCTCTGGGTGGCATCATGTATGTCCATAGGCTACAGAAAGTACCGCCAATGTCAACTCAGATGTGTAGGTAGTTACACTAGACTGATACTAGAAATCCCGCCAGCTCCTGAAGTCTCGCTAGTGAGAGAAAAAAAATAACGCCCCCCTCCCCCCCCTCTCGTCCCCAAAAAGCAGATGAAGAATTAACACCGTAATGCTGAAAACAAGGACCATAACCAAAGAGTTTGGGACCAGCCTCGGGAGCACAGAGTAAAGAGCTCATAAAGAAACGTCCCGGTGTGTGCATATGCGCGTGTGTGTTTATATATGTGTATATATATTCGTTAGTAAAGAAAAGAGTATCTGTGGAGGCAAAGGGAAGACGGTAAATGTACAGGCAGTACAGGCTGGGTGGAGTGCCGGTGGCTGGAGAGGGTCGGGTGGTGCGGAGTGGAGGATGGTGGGTGGAAATTAGAGTGCGCCCATTCCAGTGACCTCAGACGTCAGCCTAGAATAGACAGGGGCAGAGAGAGGGGTGGGAGGGAGACAAAAAACAAGTGCTTAATCACCAGAGCAGAAAAGAAAACGAAGACCCTGTGGGGCAGTGCTCCTCCTCTTGCCCAGACCCCATGGAGATGGAGTGGGCAGAGCACCACTGGGTGGCCTGGGGTCCCCCGAGGAGAGCACGAGGGGCTGGAGCACAGAGCCAGTGCAATGGCTGGCTGCCTTCCCCTCTCCTTGCTGCGACCCTTTACTGTCACTGTGTCGTGGCAGGGGTGTCACCCACCAGAGGTGCTGGCAGGAGTCATCCCAGAGCACAGCTTCACTTCCAGCAGCATCTCTCCTATAGGGGACAGGCAGCTGTGCCAGCTTCCCTTCTGCTTACTTTTGCTCTGGTTTGGAAACTATGGGAGAGGCTGAGCCCCATCCTGCCACCCCACCAGGTCGCCTCTGCACAGGGGCAGCTCAGCCAGCCCTTCCCAGCAACTAAGAGCCACTTCTTTTTCTTTTCTTTCTCTCTCTGTTTCAGGGAGTGGGGGGCAATTGGCAAGGATCTGTGGGGAAGCCACTCAGCCATGCCCGTGGGCGGGGGACTGGCCCCGTGCCTCACCCGAGCAGGGGGAGAGGTGCCACGGGCATGGGCAGCGGGGTAGCGGGGTGGGATGGGATGGCAGGGGTCTACTGCGGGTTGGGGCTTGGGTGGGTTGGGTGCAAGGAGGAGAAAGCACATACAGACCTTACTGGTGCTCCCAGCCCACAACCCAACAAATGTCAGAGTCGCTGCCAGCAGCCCCCCGTCCTTGGGGCGCTGCCAACAGCCTCCCCTCCTGAGCGCATCCGGGGCTGCTGGAGGGTTGGTACGGCATCAATCCTGCCCACGGGGATGGGCCCATCTGAATGGCTCTGCCAGGCAGATGCAAAGCTACCAGGAAGGTCCCTCATCCCCTTAAACTCACTCTCCACAAGTCCACAGACACAGGAAAACAGGTCTGAGTGAGCAGCCTGGACACAGCTCACTGCCTGCATGGAGCAGGTCTCCAGCTCTGCAGCTACGCCTCCCCTGCACGCTCCCCTCACTGGACCCTAGCCCCCACGGCACGGGCTGCATCTTCCCCCAGCCGGCGGCAGTGCTGGGATCCCTTGGCCTCTGTGAAGTCTTGCAGTGCCAAGCTTTCCATGATGAAAAGGAAGCAGTCAGGCCGTTCCCAGGTCTTGCGTTTTACTGGACTGATTGTTTTCACTGAATGAAGGAAAGCCTTTGAGAGGCCCGGAAGCACGTGGAAGAGGCGGTAAGCGATGCTGGGATGCCAGCAAGCAGGTTCCAAGTGACGCCTCCCTGCCACCAACTCAGCTCCATTCCTCTCCTTGTTCCCTGCCTCCTCCATAGGAAAAGACTGTGGCAACTTTGCCCACTCACAAGTAAAATCCTTGAGCAAGGGTGGCAGGAGGGCAGGCGCAACCCTTGGCCACTGTGTCAGCAGCATGGCGGCTCCCGGTCCCAGCCAAAGTGCCAGCCGGGGAAGATGTGCTGGTGATGTCTGGTCCCTGCTCAGAGGTCTCAGCAAGACACCGTCCATCCCAGCCAGCCTCGGGAAGCCCCTGCTGGCTCACGGCACTGGGAGCGTGGGTTGCTCCCAGCGCACCGGCTGGATGGGACTGGCCGTGGTGGGACGGGGTCGGCCGTGGTGGGAGGCGGTGGAAGTCGGCGGGGGTCTCACCTGGCGTTGATGAGGTACTGCGCAAGGCTGATGTTTGCAGGGGTTCCTGTGATGGTGATTTGGCGCTCCGATGACCCTTCCGTGGCGTTGGCGATTTTGATCTGCGCTCCCGACATCTGCCGAATTTCATTGATTTTGGTCCCTTGGCGTCCGATTATGCAGCCTATTAGCTAGGAAAGAAAGCACGGAGGGAACGTCTGAGAAGCGGCAGCTCTGGCAGTCACCGGCGGGACGCGAGCACACCTGAGACAAGAGTGACCTTAATGCTCATGAAAACAGGAGAGGGACAGCCCGGGGTGACTCCTACCAGTGTGTGAGCATGGTCCTCCAAGGGACACATTCAGACACCTGCCCTGCTCTGCTCCTTGTGGGGAAGAACCTCCATTGTCTGCACACGGTGCCCAGCCCCTCAGAGGGCTTCAAGGAGGGCTCATTTCAGTAATAATAATTTTCATGGTTTAATGAATGGTCAATGTTTTGCAAGTACTTATCCCCTTGCCAGTCATAGCAAACCCAAAGGTGGTTTGGACACGTTACTAGAAGGAAACAAGCCTGCTGCCTTTCCTGGGGATAGGCCAACCCCAGGAGCCCCCGCATCAGCTGGTGCAGTGACCCCCTCCCACATTTCTTCTATCCCACTGGGACACCCTCAATGTCTCTGCTACCCCCTCTAGCTCTTTTGGTGCAATCCAGATCTGGCAACCTTCTTGCCAGTGGGCACAGAAGAGCACCACACAGCTGTGGCACCCACAGAATAGGTGGACTTTATGTAAAAGCATGTCTTTCATGCTCTTGTGAAAAACTTAGACCCAGCTGGAGGCTTGAATTTCCTCAACTGTTCATCCCTTGAATTTCCTCAATGGTCCTCAGCGGCTTGAATTTCTTCAATGGTCTTTCCTCATTTGTGCAACTCCCTCAAAGCATCTCCAAAGGTTGGTAACACATATGGGGATATCCAGCTTGACCAACACAGTATTCTGTGTGCCCTTTTTGGCCATTTGAGCTCTTTTCCAAGGGCATTTTATACACGGGATGTTCCTCTTGCCAGCTGCTGGATTTCTGCGCAGTGCAAGCAGAGACAATTACTCCTCCAAATATTCCCAGATCCTTTGGTCAGACCATGGGGCTGCCATGGTGGTTTATCCCATATGGACCTGAACATACACTGGAAGAGTATCCACTGTACCAGGGTTTGTGGGATGATGTTCAGCCCATCCTGGTCTTCACAGAACAGAAATAACTCTGAAATGCTTAAACAAATGAAAATCTGCTGGAGAGACCTGAGGAGCCAAACTATTTAGGCAGATGCTCAGCTAGACACAAGATGAACAGTGTTCAAGTTTCTCCTGACAGTCAGAGAAGCAGCAAGATGGGTATAAACAGATATCCTTCCACTGCAGCACAACTCCAAGCTACACCACTAAAACATGCCTGGTGACTCTCAAAGGAACCCAAACCTGTCCTCTGCTTCCTGAGAGGGTGGCAGTGGGCATTTAAAAGCTTTTGAAACAGCCTTTGAAAGTGGGGAGAGCTAAGGAAGAGTTTTTCAATATAGAGGTGATGACATCTAATGTCTCCCAGGTCTGGTGTGCGCTGGGTCTCTGGCGAGTGAATGCTCCGAGTGCTCCTGAGTTCTCAGAGGTCTCCTGGCATCCTTTCCTCTCACATGAGTCCTTTTGCAAGGAGTCTCTTTGTATTTCTGCAGATGCCTTCATTGCTATGGTCCTCCACGCTCAGCAGATGTGGCTGTTGGAACCTCAGGAGCAGAGCAGAGCTCCCTGCAGCCTCCTGGAGAGGGGTCCCTGCTGGGTGGACAGGAGCACATCTGGGGTCAGCCCCCACTGGCTTCTCTGCAGATCCCTCCTGTGGTGATTTGGCCTAGGGCGAAGCATCCCCAAGTCGGCAGGTGCTCACAGGCTCTTGCACTGCCATGTCTCTCGGGTGGACAGAGGAGTTGGCAGATGTGCCCGGCAGCTGCCACCAGGATCGCTGTGTTTCCCTGGCACTGATAGCTGCTGGTGAACAGCAGGAAGAAGGAGCAACAGTACCAGACGCCATTCAGAGACTCCTGATGAGGATGGGCTGAAGGTGCTTGTCAGTGATGGAGATGGGAACAGAATGGATATCATCCCTCCACTTGCCCTCATCCTGATTTGAGCATAGACTGGGTCTTAATCCACAGAAACCAACCCAGAAGCAAGTGAGGCTCATGGATCCAGGTACTGGCTGTGTCATGCTCTCCATCCCACCTCCTCCCTGCCGAGCACGGCTCCAGCCTCCTCCCAGCAAATATCCTAGTCCAGCACCCGCATTACCACAAAGCTTCCACCTATCAGACTCCACAGCTGCCTGCCAGCAGTACTGAGCTGAGACACACTGTCCTTCAGACGCTCATGTGGCACTTTGTGGCATCAGAAACGTCACTTACTTACCTCCTCTTCCCCACCACCCCACCCGTCACTACTCTTGAGCTGGAACATCATCTCAGACCCGCCTGATTAAACAATTAAGAGTTTAATCAGGGCTGGCATGGGAGCTCTCTCCCTTACCCAGTGTTGTCAACTGGGCATGTTTCATGAGCACTGAGTTCACTTGGAAAGAGAAATGGAGCACTAAGGATTGTATCTAGAGAAGCTACTGACGGAGTAAAATCCAACGGGCACTCTGTGCTGCAGGTTGAACCCCAACAGACCGCACATGGATGAGGGAACATGGGGAAGGGGCATCTCTAAATGTATTTAACAAAGCCAAATGGCTGCAGCTTATACATAAATACATGTATGTATATATAAACATATATATGTATACACACACGCACACGCAGACATGCCAAGGAAGCACTTGGATTTACTTACATCATTGGGAATGGTGAGTTCATGAGTACTGGCCGGGGGACTGGCATCCAAACCTGGGCAGATGCAAGGGAACATGGTTAGAGCTGGCAGAGGCGACACGACGGAGCTCCACTGCTTTCCCGCAACACTGCCAAGGCTGCGTCCTGCTCCGGGCTGGGAGGGGAAGGGGATCACACACTCCGGGACAAGGAGGAGGAAGACGGTTGCTACCTGACTCTACTGGAGCTGGGTGTCACCTTCCCTGCATCCCACAGTGCCTCACTTCCCACCCTTCATCCTCCCACTGGGAATAGCTTCAGAGGAGGATGCAAGGCTCCAGCATCAGCAAGGAGAGGTGGGTGAAACTCCTTCCCACACAGCAGCAGAGAACATGCTGGCTGGGACACCCACCAGCCCCACAGGAATGCTGTCCATGCACCCTCCAGCCCTCTCTGGATGAAGCAGCATTGAGCTGCTGGGGTGTTACAGCAGCTTGGTGCCCCAAAACCGGTGTCCCCACGGGATCCGGCAGCACAAGTCCTCTGCAAGTTAAGCCCCACAGACTCTCATGCTGAATTTGAGCAAGACTGCTAAGACATGCAACCTAGCTGGACCCAGGACCCTCTTATTTCCAAGGGAAAGCAAGATGAACAGTATGGAGATTTAGATCCTGCCTCCCTCCAAAATTGCACAGCGAGGAGCGAAGGCAGAGGCATGCTTCTTCCCACCCTCTCCTGGACCAGGGAGAGCTCTCTGCTCCATAGTAGGAATGGCTGGAGCCAGCAAGATACTCTGTGAATGCAGCTCCAGAGGTAAGAGCACACCATGTCACGGTGCTCTAGGTCAAAGCCTGCCTCTCCCATGGTTTCCCATATTAAATCACCTCAGTGCAGAAGCAGGGACGTCCTACGTCAAATCTGCAAGAAAGAAGCTGTCTGGTGCCTGACAGGAATTTGCAGTAACTGGAAAAAAAACCCCTTATCCTTATGATATAAACCACTGATGAAGGCTTCTAAGAGCAGAAGAGACTGCCAGATCTGTATCCATGGAAAGAGGGTGGTTAAGGAGGTGCAGAATGAAGAAGTGCAAGGAGACTGGAAGTGCAGAGGTCCTGCAAAACAAGACAGCAGCAGCACCCAATTCCTCACATATTTCCATGGAGTGCCTCAGCATAGAGGAAGAGGAGCTCTGGGTATCTCTAATGTGCTCATGCATGATCTCAGGATGTTGGGAAATGAGGGTGAGGAGGCCCTGGCACTGGTTATCCAGAGAAGCTGTGGCTGTCCCATCCCTGGAAGTGTTCAGGGTCAGGGTAGATGGCATTTAGAGTAACCTGATCTAGTGGAAGGTGTTCGTGCCCATGGCAGAGGGGAAGAACAAGATGGGCTGTAAGAGCCTTTCCAACCCGAACCATTCCATGATTATGTGACACTGTACTTCCTGTGCTTTCCTGAAATCAGTTTCCCAGATGCATCTTGCTGACATCTGCCTGCAGGAGGCTTCCTCACCAGAGTTTTCACTTGGGAGCACAGAGAGAAGAGGAAATGCATGAGGAATGAGGATGCAGATCCTCCAGCAGGCAGCCCTCTGCTGTCCTTCAGCCCTGCCAGGGGTACTAATGCCAAAACCCACACAAAACATCTCCCGCCCAGGTATTACACCACAGGAAATGCTCAATGCTGACTTTACAGCACACACTTCACCTGGACTGGCCTGTACACTGAGCCTCCTCACAGTTAGGGGCTATCGTGTACCTATCACGGACATGTTCCTGTGGTGAGGGAGTCCCTCCCCCTTGGCCATGTTATAAGGCTCAGCTCAGCAGCAGCCTGGGTGTGGCAGAAAATGTCCTCTGAAGGGAGCAGAGCACTAATGAGGGCTACAAGCAGCACTGACGCATCCAGGGATCTTAGGGAATATAAGCTAAGCTCCTCAGACTCATAGGCAGCATCCTCCATCCCACACTCAGATGAAAGGGCTGAAAGCCCTTGTGACACCTGGTGCCATGGTACTGCACATCCCTGCATCACACAGCCTTTGAGGAATGGCCACATCCTTCTCTATGACCTGAAGACTGTGTATTTCATCATTCCAGATCCTCCCTCTCTGATATGTACAAGCAGTCCTTGAGGCTTTAATGAGGGTGTCAGGGCAGGATTAATGCCTTGGGTGACTGCAAAGGGCAAAGGGGCATGCAGAAAACATGGCTGCACAGGTCAGTGTCATGAAATCTGTATTTCTGCAGTCTCATGGGGTCTATTGGCTTGGGCTCTGCTTGCTTTTGTAATTATGTGCTGTCCCCGAACCACCGAGGCATGCATGGGATGGCCGTGTGCCCCAAGTCTGGTTCATCCTGCCTGTGAGCCTCCAGGTCTCGGGACAGCTCCTCTATGCAATGGTAGGAAACAAAAGATAAATCTTTTCCTCACACATGGATGAACGTGGGACATCTGACAGCAAAATTTCTCCAAGGCTGCAGCCACACTTTGGCTCCTCAGGGTCCTGTCCCACTAAAATTGCAACTCACCCTGAATGGCTCGGAGATGGCTAGAGCTGCATGTCATGGCTGTTCCCACCGGCACTGTTCTGTTGTTTCTGAGCAAAGTTTATGCAAAATTAAATGCAAGAATAAGGGTGATGATTGGTATCTTCCTGTTATGCAGACAGCTTTGAGGGAGACCTCACCACACCTGAGGGGCAGCACCAATCTCTGCTCTCTGTGCCCAGAAACAGCATGGAGCTGTGTCAGGGGTGGGTCAGACTGGATACCAGGAAAAGGTTCTTCCCCCACGGGGTGCTGGGCACTGCCCAGGCTCCCCAAGGAATGGGCATGGCCCTAGGCTGCCAGAGCCCAAGGAACATTTGAACAATGCTCTCAGGGATGCACAGGGTGGGATTGTTGGGGTGTCTGTGCAGGGCCAGAGATTGGACTGGATGATCCTTGTGGGTCCCTTCCAGCTGAGGATATTCTGTGGTTCTATGGCAGTTTCACATCAACGTCACAGAGCCAGGCAATAACGCCAAGGCACTTTTCTTTTGACCAAGGAGAAGGGTGCTGCCCAATCTCTCCCTGCCCACCAAGACAACCTGCCGTCTTCTCCATGAATACCATAATTCCTCTCGGAGCACAACAATGGCACAGTCCATATTTACTGAATATATTTCAACCAAAGCCTGCTTACTTCCCTCTAGCTTTGTGTTTTACCTGATGACTGGCCCATCAGATTTTGAGCTTCTTCGGAGGAATGTAAGGGCAGCTTTTCTCCTGAAGAGCAAAGAAGAAACAGGTTTAATGCTTTTCCCTTCGAGGAGATAAGCAACGTCACTTCATCTAGGAAGCTCAAAATATGATGAACATACTGTGAGAAAAGCCATTTCCAAGCGGTACTTGAACGACCTCCCCTGTGCTCTATCTGCTTCCCAGGTCACCGGGAACAAGCCGGCCTTGAGGACAAGGCTCGGGCCACGCCAGGGCTGGCTGTCCTCCCGTCAGGGCAGCCCCCTCTGGCCACGACTCCTTCCCACTGCGAGGGGCTGTAACTGCCTGGCTCAGCATGCCCGGCCGGCCCTGAGCCGCTCCGCTGGGAAAGCGCGGATGTCCCGCCGCAGTGCGGAGCAGCACGGGGCAGGGGGATGCTGCATCCTCCGTGGAGGGAGGGATGGTGCTCACAGCTTCTGCTGGGAGCTCGCCCTTGAGCACCACAACCCCCACTACATCCTCTCCTTAACCTCTCCCCATGGATATTGCCACTTTTTACTCGCCCTGCTGATTTCCATTAATCAACAAAAGTTTAGAAAGAGAGAGAAACTCTACAGGTAAGAGAAGGATATCTTGAAAGGGCGTGTGGGTACGTACCAGGGAAAGCGGGGGTGGTCTGTCCAAGGGGAGTAAAGGGGGTTTGCTGCATAGCCAACTGGTGGAGCTTGGTCAACTGCTGAGGGGTAGGAGGGACATTAGAGCTAAGAAGGTTATTGTCATAGAGTACAACAAGTCACACCGAAAAGCAAGAACAAAATTATAACGGAAGAGGGGGGGGGAAAAAAAGGAAAACAAACAGAAAAATAGAAAAAAAAAAAACCTTAAAAAAAAACCAAACCAGGAAGCCATGGTGAGACATGGCAAAAACATTAGCAGAAAGGACTTGGCCTGGGTATAGTGCAATAAAGCCCAAATCTTTGGCAGAAGTGCTTGGTCAGGGTCTGAAGTACGATACCAGCAAGAAGCCCATTCTAAGTGTCAGTTCAGCTCCTCTGCCTCGGTGCAGGGCCAGCTGGTGGGCGTCATGGCCAGCTCCCAGGGACCCTCTTTGTGCCACCAGAGCCGCATTGTCACTGCTTGTCCCCCCAGCACACGTTCTTGTGCAGTGCCTCCGATGGGAAGTGCCTCTGGGAGATGGGTAAACGGTGTTTCTAAATGCCAGCTCATTAGGAATACGGGGAATTATGGGCTTCAGTCATGACCAGTAGGTATTTCAGATCCTTGTATCCCTTGTTGTGACGGGGAGGTTTTGCTGCCCCGTCAGGAAGCAGTTTTATAGAGCTGTGTTTGTTTGGAATACATTTTGTGCTCGATTTTACTGCTCCAAATTAAAAAAAAAAAAAACGAACAAACCAAAAAATCGAAAAGACAGGAAAAGAAAAGAAAACAAACCAAACTGGGCTGAAGTCTGACAGTGAGCAGGAGGGAGGCTCTTTATCATCTCCCACTTTCACAGGTGCTCAGGGAGTTGTCAGCATAGCATCACCCCCAAACTCAAAATGCTTGTTTTGCCCATCATCCCTGACAATGGGGAAGAAGGACTTACAGTTTAGATGTTTCTGGTGGACAACAAGACTCAAACACCTCCTTGCTGCTGCAGCAGGGCTGGGGAGGGAGAGCAGGGAGGTCTGGCTGGCAGCGGTGAGGGGGAAATGCTGGGAAGAGCGGGCCCAGGGGGCTGCGTACAATGGGGGAGGCTGGAGGGAGGCAGCAGGAAGGGTGAAACACCTGAAAATCCCTGGACAGGTACCCCTGGGATCCCTGTCCTGCCTGGAGAGGCATGAGGACACCAAGCCTCCGCTGCCTCAGGGGAGAGGTCTCACCACTCCACAAGAAGAGGTGCCTGCACATCTCTGTGCTTTTTTTGGCTGTCTTTGGCTCATTTTAGCCAAAGATGTGATATGATGGGTTCTCACGACAACGAGGCTGTCTCCAGATAACACTGGGCATGCCACTGCTCCTGTAGGGAGCAGGGACAGCAGCACCCACTGCTTTTTAACTTCAGAATTATCCCGTTTTCTGGAGCTGCACCCTGTTTCTGGAATTTCTCGTGACACCTGGTCCCACTGGCAGGACTACAGATGAAACCTCTTTGCCTGGTGGGCTCCAACCATGCCCTGGGACAGGGGTCCTGCTGTGCCAAGCGGGGGAGACCAAAATCCTTTCTAATACTGATCTAGTAGACCTTCCAGACATAGTTTGGATAGTGGTATTTATGCAGCCTCTGCAATTATAGCAACAGACAAGCCTGGGAGAGGAGAAGATGGCTGCAACCAGGTGTCACAGAAAAAGCTGCTACGTCCATCTCTTCCAGCTCACCTTCCATGGTTGAGGGAGGGGATTGTCCCCCTCTGCCCTGGTGACACTGTACCTGAGGTACTGCATCCAGTTCTGGGGTCTCCAGCACAGGAAGGAGATGGATCTGTTGGAGTGGGTCCAGAGGAGGTCACGTAGATGCTCCAAGGGGCTGAAGGGGCTCCAGGAGAGCTGGAGAGGGACTTTGGACAAGGGTCTGGAGTGACAGGACAGGGGGAAATGGCTTCGCACTGACAGAGGGCAGGATTAGATGGGATTCTGGGGAGAAATTCTTCCCTGGGAGGGTGGGCAGGCCCTGGCACAGGATGCCCAGAGAAGCTGTGGCTGTCCCTGGATCCCTGGAAGTGTCCAAGGCCAGGCTGGTCATTGGGGCTTGGAGAAGCCTGGAACAGTGGAAGGTGTCCCTGCCCATGGCAGGAGTTTGGTGTGAGATTTAAGGAGATTTGGAATTTTAAAGGACCTTCCAACCCAACCCATTCTGTGAATCTACGATCCCACAGCTTTTGGGAAGGCAGGCAGCTACACATCACATCCCAAACAGCCAAAACCACCCAGGCAATTCTGAAGCTCCTCATGAGCCAAAGCTTCCTCTGTCCTGGGATGTTTCTCCAGTGGACAAAATCAAGGCAGGAGCACACACCGGGCATTCAAAATTCTGCCCACTTTGCAAAAGGCAGCCACTAAACACAGACACCCAAAACCTGTTTAAAATGCCCTAAAAGCACATTCTAGACTGGATTCTGCACTGAACGTTGTTGTTAAAAATGACCAATCACTGAAAGAACACCCTGGGAGTAAGGATGGAGTGAGCAGCCCCTGTACCAACAGCTTTATTCAGGAAATTTGCTGAGAGTGGAGCAGAGTGCAGCCAGCAAATGTATTTTAATCCTGACAATCAGAGGAATATAGGAACAAGGAAAACACTAAGCTGTTGGCACCACTTGCAAAGAAAAACTGGGATCAAGACTGCACTGATCTACCCTAAATACACAGCTGATGTAGTTATATTCTGCTTATGGAGTAGAAGTGAAGAGTACGCAATTAGGAATATTTCTTATTAACCATCACAGCAAGCTGTTCAGAATACAGACATACTGGTGTCACATGGAAAGCCAAAGCCTGGATTCCTCTAATTCCAGTGAAACCACTTCTCCTAGGATGAAAATCCAGCCTACAGCTCCCAAATGTTCCCATATGTGGCAGGCATTCATGGTATCAAACAGCCTTACCAACTTCTCGAACATGGAAAAAGTAATTCCATTATTTAGTACCCAATGCACTCACTGGAAAGGGGAATGCTGAGCTGCATCAACCCCTTCCCGTGGGTGGGATGGCTGGAGAAGACTTTCCCCCACTAGCACATCCTCAGCCTCACTGCAGACCCCTGTCCTGCAGCAGGAGGGACCCTCTGCAATGGGACTCCATGGGTACTCTATCCCCTTGGAAACACATTTAGAAAGTCCCTGCTCTTTCCAAGAGCCATGACCACCTCAGAAAAGCTTCTTTGAGGAAAGCTTCACTGCTTTCCTCAAAGAAATCCTTCAAACAGACTGATTTTCCATTTCCCTTGGTAATCCCAGGTGCACACATTCCAGCTGTTGATCCCTCCTTGTCCCCCAACAAAAGTGCTCTCTGACCCCACAAAGGCACGGGAGCCCAGGGGATCCCAGCATCAGCAAACCTCAGTCAGAGCAGCTCAGAGCAGCTCCTGTCTCTGCACCAAGGAGCCCGAGGTGAAGTGGGAGCTGTCCCCACGCTGCCCTACCACGGGTGACAGCCACCCACAGCAGTGAGACAGCCACCAAACTCAGGGAGACCACGCTGGTCTGGGGGGCCCTCAGCAGGGTGAGATCCAGCAGCACACACCTTCCCATCCCTCTGGGAGACACGGTAGGGGGTTTGTCCAATTTCCACATCACCCAAAGGAGCACCCCTTATAAAGACACATCCCTACCCAGGCTTCAAGCACAAAACACCCGGAGCTCTGGCTTCTTCCCACCCAACCAAGGCACTCAGCAGCTAAATATATGCCCTTGGCTTACCAACATTTTAAAGACAAGGGGAAACAGAAGGGAAAGTATTCTTTTTTCTTTTCTTTTTTTTTTCTCGTTTTGATCATTTTCAGGCACAAAATGCATAGAGTATGGTTTCTCTCAGAACGAAGGGATAGCACTGAATAATGCAAACAATTTAGCATCAGGCCAAGTCCTCAGAAGTGATAAAGTTTAGTGCTAACAGGTTAAAAGGCTACTTGAGGTATTACAGATACTACACACGGCCAGTTACTTTGAAAATACGCTATTAATATTATTGGCTAATATTAATATTATGTGAATTAACAGTAGCATGCAGGTGACAGAGAAGGGTATAAGAAAAATTAGGGTAAAACTCACATCCGGGTGTGGAATAGCATATTGTCCCTGAATTGTATAGGCCTGTAAAGGAAAAACAAAGATGTTACCTAGGACTGGCAGGACATGGGGAGAGAACTCCATCCCTCTGCTGAGACCCCCTGTGCCATATTAAATTCCCTGGGGCACCAAATCCTTGGGGCAGGAGGGAAATGTTTCACCTCCCATCCAACCTAGAACATGCTGAGCTACCTGACTTCAAGGGCTCAGGCTCAGTTTGGCTTTTCCAGAAGGAAAGAAACAGCTCTTTCTGGTGCCAGCATTGCATGGAGTAGGAGTATCAGGCTGTGGCTGGTCTTTGCTGTACCAAAAATAAGGATCAGTGGTGGTGGGGGGGTTGGAAGTGGATGATCTTTAGTGTCCCTTCCAACCCAAACCCTCCTGTGATTCTCTGATAACCACAACTACCTATGTAGCAGGTGCACAGTGACATCACTGCCCAAGCGTGATCCCAAAAAGCAAGCCAGCTCTGTGAGCTTCTCCATATTTCCAGGTGCACAAGTCTCAGTGGATGCTTTACATCCACCCAGTATATTCCAGTGCTCTGCTAGGGCTTCGGAAAGGCATCGAGGTGAGGGCTGCCTGCACTGCCATGCCTTTCACCAGTTGTGATTGACAAATCCATGCAAGTATCTGCCAGGCAAATGGGTTTGTGTGTTTTTCCCATCCTTTGTAGCAATCCTTTCTCTTTTTGTTTGTAAATAACACTAAAATAAGCACCAATGTGGGTAAAGAGCCAGACACTAGAGAGCCTTATATTTAGGACTTAACCACCTAGCAAAATATATCTCACTGGTTGACACATAATTCAGATGATTCTGAAAGAAATGGCAAAAGAGATGGAGAACACTTTGAAAAGGGAGAGTAAAGATTGCCAAGAAAAATGAAAGGAGAAAACCTTGGAACCTCCCGCAAATTTGCTGCATTGTTTGCAAAGAGCAAGTTCTTTGTGTGAAGGAAAGCCCCAAAATCATGGAGGAGGAAAAGGGAAAATGGCTGTCTCAGTGCTCACCAGCATCCCAGCACAAAGGGAACACGACAGAATCGCCTGTCATGGTGGTTTAATTTGGCCATTGGTTTTTTTTATTAGAAAAATTGAGTCGAAAAAGGTAATCAAGGGCAGGAAGGTATCTTGGACAGATGCAACTCAACTCTGACCTTTGAGGGCTGGTCCTTATGTTGCCACTGTTGCCATCGGCTGCTACATCCCTCAGCCTGCTGAGCCTCATCCCACCCTGAACACCTGACACCACTGTCACCAGCTGTCCTCTGCCTGCCCGCCCCGTGCCACCCCTAGGGCTCCCAGCCTTGGGAAGAGCTCTCATTTCAGAGACAGTTGCTTCTTCCCATGATGTTACTTCTGTCCAAGGCACGAACCATTCACAGCAGGAGAATTGATACCTCCATCTCACTCTCCCTTTTGAAAAGATCAGTTCACCAGGCAGCTGGACTCAAAGCTCTTTTCCAGGACAGCTGCTCAGACGGAGTGACACACTCCTGATCCTGGCAGTGACTAATTCAGCCTGAAATAGCCTGTGCTCTGGGTCTTAGTTGGTCCTTCTGTTTATTATGGTTGGAGAGAAATTAAATAACTCGTTTGGAGCTGCTCTGGTAAGCTGTGGTTTTGTGGTGCTGGCCCTACCTGGCTGCTGGAGTTTTGGGAAGGTACATTCCCTGCCGGATGTGATGCACCACAGCACGGTGGCATCTACGGGCAGGCCCTTGGTCACCAGGTGAGACAAGGAGATGAGACGGAGAAAGCAAAGGTGCAAGCTCCCTCCCAAGAAACAGCCGAGTGCTCAGTTGCTCTTGTTTCTGCTGATTTTCGTTTGCAGAATAACCTCCAGCTCACCACGTGATGGTTATCCCACAAAGGAAAAACCACCCCAAGGCTCACTGCTGGAAATAGCACGTCGTGTCTGCAAGGCTGCGATGTCACCCGAGGTGACAGCAGGCTACAGGGGGAAGCAGCACTCCAAACCAGCTGAGCACCAGGGAGGGGGACATGGCTCTTCCATGGGGGCTGCCCTGAGCAGACCAGTAGCTGCGACAAACCCTTCCTACCCTGGATCAATTACAGCTACACAAAGGTATCTTTAATTGGGCTGGAGGTGCCAGAGAGCAGTGACAGCCTCTTGTCAGCAATGCTTTTCTAATCCTCTCCTTCTCAACCACTGACAAACACTGAACTTGGGTCTAGTGAAGCAAATTCCAGCCCTTCCTTTGTGTGACACCCTGACACGGAGCTGACACCCAGGCTGGCCTTTCCCTGCTCCTCATTGTCCGGCACCCATCACAGGAGCTAAGCAAAGAGCTTTCAGTCCAGCTGCCACAGCACACAACGGATGGGATGACACCATGCAAGTCAGAAGGCAAGAAACCTGAGTGCACTAACGGGCAGCGGCTGGTGCTGCAGTAAAAGGCTGAGGTTGGCAGTGGAGGCTGCAAGCGGGTCGGCTCTTACCTGACCACCTGCAAAAATGACAGGGGTGGAGGCGGGCTTTGGGCGGTAGGGAATGGTGGCACCTTTTGGTGGGGACTAGGAAAAGGGATAAGGAGAAGGGAGAGAGAACATTAGAACAGCTTTCCTGAAACGGTGGCAAAAAGTGTTAGAAAGCACCTAAGGGAGCATGGCCCCCGGGGCCGCCACAGCAACACCCGCACCAGGCAACACGGCATTTCTGGACAGGAGCACACGGGGGAGAGAGGGGTTTCATGGGCAACAAGGACAACCTGGGGCACGGGAGATCCATCCCCTGCCAAGGCATGGGCCCCTAAACGGCCTCCTGGACCTCCGCTGCCTCCCTCAGCTTCGCTCTGGTCTGCAGAAAACACGTTGCCTGCTCCAGGCTCCAGGAAGCCTCCTCAGAACGCTCCGAGGAGAGCCTCAAGCAGCAAGATGGGGAGGTACAGCCCATCTGGGGGACCCGGCACCATGCTCAAGCTCTTTGGCTGTCCTCATCTTCCTCACCGCCAGAACAGGGTCACCTTCAGGCCTTGGTGTGGCCCACCGCCATCCGAGCTGGGCTGTGGGTGCTCCCACATGGCGGGAGGCTGGAATTAGATGGCCTTTAAGGGCCCTTCCAACCCACACCGTTCTGTGATTCCATGATTCTGTAGTCTTGCTGCTCTCTGTCCTGCGGTAGGTCTGAGCAGGGCTGCAGTGGCCGAGGCGCTGGTGTGATGCACAGGGGCTGCTCACCCAGGCTCTCCCTCCTGGTTTTCTCCTGAACATATCATCCTGAACACATTACAGGCCATAGGAAACACGGAGGTTTCCAGGGATCAGGAGAGATTTCAGCTCTCCTCCTGCTTCTACCCAAAATTAAACAACTCAGTGACTGCTATAAAAGGACAGGCAATAGAAATCATACTATCTCATGGACAGTTCTTTTTTCCCTGTACATTCTTTGGATGTCTACTTGCAGGCAAGCAGCATTATCTAAATCCTCCTGCTAAGCACCTGTCTGTGGGAAAGCTGATCAAAGAACATCTTCAGCATCCCAAAACTACTTGTTCTTTTATTGCATTACAAATCTTGGAGTGGACAAGCCAGGATTATCTGTTTAAGACTGAAAGGTGATACAGAACATCTCTGTGAGCCACTAAGTAAGGGCACTTTCCAGATTTCAGACTCCAAGAAGACTCGTGGGTTTTTCTCTTTCCCATGGCTGAGCTATAGAGAGGAACAGCACATCTTGCTTTGTGAGAAAGACTTTTTAACACACAAGGCAAGCATCACCTCAGGCTCAGCTCTGCTGCAGTCTGCGACCTGGAGTCATCGGGTGCCTAAAATTCCTTTGGCAGCAGTGCAGCTGCCTGAGCATCACAGCCAGCAGGGATGGGTAATGTGGCTCCTGGCCATTCCTCCTGAGATATTTTCCTGAGATTTCTCCTGCTGCTGCCAAGCTGAAGATGTTTCCATTTGGCTTTGCTTCACCTTCACCAAGCCTTGCCATCCCCATCTGAAGCTTTTCCAGTGGGAATCATGCTCCTTCCTCCCGTGAAAGGGCTGTGCAGCTAGGCAGAGGGGCCTTACATCAGTCCCTGCTTTGTCTGTCCCTAAGATGCACCAGGAGTGGAATGTGTCACCATCCTGTGTCTCAGGGGCTTTCCCCCTGGAGCTTCTCCCATCTGAGGTGGCAGGTGCAGATGTGGAGCATGTGGCTGAGGTCATCTCCAGCAACAGCAGCATCTCTCCATGGCAGACAACTTCCAGCTCTGCTTTTATCCCAGAAAATGGCACCCTGGACATATATCCATGTGCCCTACAGTCCCTGCTCTCCACCGGCCTTCCTCACTACCATTCCTACTGTGCCTCACTGGAACACAGCCTCGTGCTTCCAATTCCAGCTTCCCCAGTGCAGGAGATACTCTGGCCTCCTCCTCCTCCTGACTGTGGTCCTTGTGAGCCAGAGACCAGGTGCCTGGAGCAGTGGCTGCAGCCCCCATCTCCTTTTCATGGCACCCTGGGTGCTGCTAGGACACTAGGCCAGGCTGTCCCAGCTTGCTGGCACCCCTCTGCCCTGAAGCCACCCTCTGCTCTGACACAAACCACCTCCTTCAGGGCACCCAACTGGACAGGCTTTCAGTGTGGGACTCTAGAAACTACGGACAATGGTGGGGAAAAGACATGGGGTGTGTTTCCAGCAGAGCACCAGGAAATGAGAGTGGTCCGACAACGCACGGTGAAGGGGACGAGAGAGACGCTCCACAGCTCCCAGCACTCTGGTGGGGCCAGCTGGGATTTTTTTCCATATGTACATTACCCCCTTTGTTACAGACTGTACCTCCAGCATCACCACACAGATCTGTTTGACACACTGAATAATTGCGTCGGGTGTCCCCGAGATTGTCACCGCCCGCTCCGTGGAGTTGGGCAGCATGTCCCCCGCCACTTGGACCTGAGCACCTGTGGACTGGAGACAGAAAGAGAGAGGAAGGAGAAATCCCACAGCTGAACACCTTCACCCGAAGCCAGCTCCAGCTCTGACGTCGTGTGTCTCCCGAGGGCCCGGCACACGGCATCCCAAGGGATGCTGCTCCCACAGCAGCCAGACTGCCCTGGGAAGCAACGTGATGCATGGCATGGTGCAGCACGGGGATCCCCTTTTCCAAGGAAGCCCCTGGCCACGGCTCAGCTCTGAGGAGCTACACTGAGGTGCAATAATGAAACGGAATCTGCCTTACCTCTCGGATTTCCTTGATCTTGGAGCCCCCCTTGCCGATGAGGGAGCCACACTGACTTGCCGGCACCACCAGCCGCAGTGTCACCGGAGGTTTGCTGGTAGCAGTGCTGTTGCTCATGGAGTTGGTTATGTCCTTGGGAAGGAAAAGGGCAGCACATCAGCCCTGGGTTCCCCACCAGAGCCACCCCCAGTTCCCAGGTGCTACATCCATAAACGTTGTGGTCAGGTGACTAAAGCATTCCCTCTTGAACGCTTCCAGGGATGGTGACCACCACTGCCCTGGACAGTCTGTTCCAAGGCCTGACCAACTTTCCAGTGAGGAAATTTTCCCTAAAATCCAACTCAAACTTGAGGTCATTTCCTCTGGTCCTGTCATTTGTTAGCTAGAAGAGACCAACCCCTAAATGGCTACACTCTCCTTCCAAGCAGTTGTAGAGAGTGAGAAGGCGCCAATGAGCCTCCTTTTCTCCAGGCTGAGTCCCCCAGCTCCCTCAGCTGCTCCCCATCAGACTTGTGCTCCAGATCCACTCTAGTTAGAGATGTGTCAAAGGTTCTGTGCTGAGGCCATGTCCCACTTAGGCAAATCCAACCAGGCACTGCTGTCCCCAGCCAAGGGCTGGCTCACATTTCTCACCTCCTCAAATTTATAGGCGATCATGGCAAAAGCCTTGAAGATGGCATCGGTGGGGCCAGTGATGGTCACAATCCGCTCAGGGCAGTTCCCCTCCGAGATGTTGATCCTTGCCCCGCTCTGGAAAGAGGAGTCTTGGAATAGCCACAGCCAAGCAATCAGGTCAGGTTCTCTCTCAGCCTGATACCTGTGCCAGCCTCACAGCATTCCATCTAACCTTCCAAAATCCCACCCCTCCTCTGCAGTGATTTCAGCCCTGCCTTATCTCAATCCTCAGAAAGGATTTCCAATGTTTTACTGCAAAGCAAACCCATGAGATCAAGGCAAGACCAGCTCATGGGATCATTGCCTGCAAAGAGTTTTGCTCACTGCCCTGACAGCTCCCTGGGAGCTGCAGGCACAAAGACCCTGGACAAACTCAAAGCATCTTCAAAGAGTTCTGGAGACAGCTGGCTTGCTTGTCCTGACCCTGGGAATTACTGCACATATCACGCAGGGCAATGTGCAGCTCTGGCCACTCTGCACTCCCTTCCTCCTACAAATCTTCCACAGAGCAGGCTGCTCACCTCCTCACGCATCTTCTTCACGGTCTCTCCTTTCTGAAACAAGAGGGAAAATCAAGGTATTATGAAAATTCAAGACTCCTACCTTTAAAACAATCCTACCGAAAATGCATCTCCTTAATAAATGGCAATGTACAGCCAGAAACATGGGAGCTGTGATGCTTGAAGAGCTGAGCATGTACATCATCAAATACATATATATATATATATATATATATATATATATACAAATTCACAACTGTGAATCTTCATAGAGCTGGACATGTTGATGGAGAAATAAGGCACAAGCCTACAGGGAAAACGTGTTCATGCTGCAAATCTTTGCCACCATAAACCTTTCTTTTAAAACCACCCAAAAAAACCTAATCCTGTATAGCCAGGACTTTCCAAACCACTGGGGAAACACCAGAGCACCTCAGGAAGCTTTTCTGTACAAGGTAAATGGAGTCCTTCGGCCGCAGAGACAGGGGCTATAGAATTACTTAAAACAGAATTTAAAAGTATCTGTGCGACATTTTTAGTATCTCTTAAAGAAGTTATTTAATGAAAACACCAGAGCAACATGGCTGTAAACCCCCAGCAGCCATCACCTAGTGAAGCAGCTGGGAACAGTTTGGTGCTTGGTGGGGTTTTTAGGGGAATGGTCTTTGACCCCTCTGTGGGTGTCTCCTAATTTCTGGCTCACAAATGCAGCAACTAGCTCAGGCACCCCACACTTCTCAGGACATCACAGGGAAGAGGTGACTACAGCATCTACCATGCAACAGGTGCAGGAATGGCATGAAAGGCATCCTTACCTTCCCAATGATGCTTCCAACTTCCTACACAGAGAAAAAGCCAAAAACAGAGGAACCGACATTAGAAAACGTGATGAGAATCCAGCCCAACCCCACAATGAAGTAAAGACCTGCTGGACACTGTCCCAAGCAGTGGGACAGGGTTGAGGGGCAGGAATGAGAGAGAGCAGGAGCACCATGCCACCCTCCCCACCGGCAGCCAGCTATTCCCGGGGCTGGCACAGCTGGGCAGAGCAGTGTGTGGGGCTGGGCAGGTGGGAGAGGGACCTGTGAGGACCCCCGCAGGGTGGGAGCTCCTTACCTTGCCATGCATCAGCAGCCGGATGGTGAGGGTGACGTTGAGGCCGCCTTCGGAGACCTTGGACTCCATTTCCTACCAGGGGACGGGAGACGCGCGTTAGCTGGGAGAGCAGCCCCGGCACAGGCAGCGCCTTGGCTGGATCACCTGGGGACACAGTGGGGAAGGTGTGCTCTCAGAACAGGCTCCTCAGGGTGGGATGGACCCCATAGAGCAGCAAAAAAACAACTCTGGACCAGGGCAGGTCAGCAGCCTGGCCAAGGGCAAGTAGCTGCAGTGGGGCTTTAAAAGACCCACAGCACCTCTCTAGCAAACCAAAGTTCAACCATTTCTAGCATAAAGAAAGCCACAAGGCAGTGGCCAGGAATTGTCTGTCTGACCCCAGGAGCACTGAATGGGAAGGACAGAATTGGCATCCTGGTTGCCACACATCCTGACCTGAGAGCTCCCCAGCCGGGCAGACTGTGGACCACACCACTTCCAGCCATTCATGTCACACACATCTAATGAAACCATGCTGTTTTCCTTTTCCATTCTCTCTCTTTCCTCCTCTGCCCTCTAGAGGTGCCATTGATATTTTGAAGGCAAGGAGGGGGAAAGAAATAAAAAACACAGAATGGTAACAAATGCTTCATTTTCCATTCCTGATGCACCTCTGCAAGAGAACGTGGCATATGAAATGTCCCTGCCCATTGCACGGGGAGAGCACTCCCATCTCAGAGGGAGGTGCCAGCATCCTTCTACGTGCAATGCTGAAAGATACAGAGCAATTCCCCCCAATGATATTTAATCCCTCAGTCCGTATCAGATGGGAGATGTTTCATCCTGCTCACAAGCATCTGGCATTTCCCTTTGCTCAGACAGGGACTTAAGTGAGCAAAAAAAGCAGCAGATAAACAAGTTCTCAAGTAGTGCTTTAATGCAAGTCGGGATGGATAAACAGCAGCAACGCACAGACCGTGGCTGGGAGATGGCTTTGATGCAAAACCTCTTCCCAGAGGTTATAATGAAATCCAAAATGGATAAACCCATGTGGTTTGCAGGGGGATAGAATTCCCTAAAGCTAAAGGACACTGACTCACCGGGAATCAGGCTGCTTATGACCTATGCACAAACGAGGGGCTTGAGGTTGCTGCTGCATGCTACAAATGGGAAAAAAAAGGATGGAATCCTCACAAGAAGGATAAGAAATTAAATGTGCTCAACACCAAAACAGGTTCACTGGCACAGGTTTCTCAGAGAGTTTGTGGACTCCCCATCCCAGACAGTGTCCAAGGCCAGGCTGGACTGGACTTGGAACAACCTGGGGTAGTGGAAGGTGTCCCTACCCATGGCAGCGGGTGAAATGAGATAAGCTTTAAAGTCCCTTCCAATGCAAACCACAGTTTATTCTCTGGTTCTATGACAAGCCAAAAGGTGCTTCTAAGGATGGGGAGAAAGAGAATATTTCTGTGGAAAAAGGTGACCACGTTGGAGACTCAAGTAACAGGAATGAGCTGAGAGACTGTAACAGAACAGGCAAGATCAGGAATTTTCAAGACTGAGCCCACTGGAAGGTGAACAATGAAGGAAAAGAGTAATTAGCTGTGTTGGTTAACCCCAGGCTGACTCCTGTGCACTGACTCCTGGGGAGGCAGTGCCAGAAAGGGTAAATAAGCTGATAGGTGGAGATCAGCATTTCCAGTGCTCACAATGTGCCAGGAGACAAACTCCTGCACTGGAGACGTCACAGAATCATGGAATGGTTTGAGTTGGAAGGAAACTTAACATATCCCTTTCCACCCCCTGCCATGGGCAGGGACACCTTCCACTGTCCCAGGCTGCTCCAAGCCCCAGTGTCCAACCTGGCCTTGGGCACTGCCAGGGATCCAGGGGCAGCCACAGCTTCTCTGGGCACCTTGTGCCAGGGCCTCCCCATCCTCACAAGGAAGAATTTCTTCCTAAAATCTCATTTAATCCTCCTCTCTTTCAGTCTAAAGCCATTCCCCCATGTCCTGTGGCAGAGAGGGTGTTCGCCATCCCCAGCTCCACATCCCTCACAGGAGGAACCCTGCATCAGGCTGTTATGTAAATGCTTCCAATTGATTGAAAAAGTGGGTCATGTGTTAGCCAAATGCTCCTGGCTTTAAGATTTATCAGCATTATTAAATTAAACACGCTTCATGCTCCAGTGCTCGGGAAAGCTACATTGGCCTTTTCTTAATCATACTAGTGAAAGGTACGTGTTTTATAGGGGGCTCATGAGCTCAATGGAAGGCATGGCAACAATAGACCCAAAGCATTTACTATGGGCACAGGCCTACCCCAGCAGCCCTCATTCTTCATGGACAAAGGGCTGGGAAAAAAAAATTATCCCCCAAAATGCCACTTTGAGCATTTCAGAGCATTCCCTGCCTGGAGAGAGACCCATCTCAACCCCTTCCTTTTCACCATCACGTTCTGCCTTGTTCACCACGGCTTTGAAATGGCTCCTTTGTCCACCCACTTGAAAGCCCCGAGGACACCATTACATCCAGCACAATGGACAGAGTAGATAGAGAGCCCAGCTCCAGCCCAGTGTGAACCAGGTGCAGCCCCACAGAGGTCAAAGACATGGGGAGACACAAGTGTCAAGCTTGGCCCCCAAAGGGAAAGCTGCACAGCTAGCCAAGCCAAGCTCTTCCAAGCATCACACCTGGGCAACCACAGGTGGAGGACTGGAGCATCCTCTTTCCACGCAAGGGGAGCAGCTGAAAGCTTTTGCAGCAAGGGGAAATCTGCCCCAAAGCTGGACAAGGATGATCCCATTCCACAATAAATAGTGCTGTTAACGGCAGCTGCCTTTACAAGAGTGCCTGGAGGAGACATCAGCAGTTCTCAGAGCAATCTGGTTCTTCCTTGGTTCAAATATATTGAATTCTGGGAAATTTTCTTAATCTATCAGGAAACCATGCATTATGTCTGAAAAAGCAACTCAGGAATCAGTCATCAAGAAATAGGAAGGAAAATGAAAGCCCAGAATAGCAGGAAGACTCCTCTTCCCCACATGCAAATGTACGCACTCCCATTTTTCTCTTTTCCCATTTTTTAGAGGTTGGATCAATTGCCTCAGCCAGCTCTCTTGTGTTTATGCTTGTTGATACCTCACAAATACCAACACATCCCTAAAATTCAAGTGACTCCCCTCCAATTAGGGGAAATCTGAACACTGTGTATTGAATTAATTTAGTAACACAATCATCTCCCATACAGGAGGAGGCACATGAAGGAGAACAAGAGGAGGAAATGGAGCTCTGGGCTGGATGCTGCTCTCCAGCCTAACTTCCATACAGGAGCTGGAAAAGCAGATGCTGGGATCGAGGGAATCATGCCTCTGATATCCTACTAGGGATGCTATCCCTGATGGCAGGAGGCTCAGTTGAGCTTGAGCAGAGCCCAAATCCCTGCAGAGGCTGAGGGACATTGCTGGCTCTGTGCTTGCTGAAGCCAGCCTTTGTTCTCTCCTCTTCCTCTTCCTCCTGCTATGCATTCCTAGGGCTCACTGGGAGTGCACGAGCCCCATATGAGCAAGCCTTTGCTTCCTAGAGTTATTTTTGGGGGATATAGCAACATTTTGTTCGAGCTGTTGAAAAACAAACAGAGAAAACAACTTTGTGCAAAGATGCCCCAGTGGCATAACTCACCCCCTCCCTGAAAGGTTTGGGTGGAAATTTCACAGGCACCATCAAGCAAATGCAAAGGAGAGAGTCTCCATCACCCCCCTACCCATCACAGGGCCTCCAGAAAATTCCACTTTCTTGCAGGCATAGCACAGAATCACAAAATGGTTTCGGTTGGAAAGGACCTCAATGCTCATCTCCTTCCACCCCCCTAGCATGGGCAGGGACACCTTCCACTGTCCCAGGCTGCTCCAAGCCCCAGTGTCCAACCTGGCCTTGGACACTTCCAGGGATCCAGGGGCAGCCACAGCTTCTCCTGGTCAGTGCAGGCTTATAAAATCCAACAGCTCAGAGCCCTGATGACCAAGAGCCCTTGATGACCTGTGCAGGTAAAGAGCAGGGTGGGCAGGGCCCTGGTCTGTGCAATCCCTGCTGTGCCACCTTCCCAAAGGACCACCCCCAAACCCCGCCCTGGAGCATCTTGTTTGCTCAGTGGTAATGCCACCCTGGAAAACATCCACCACACTTCCCAGGCTCTCAAGTGTCCCAGGAACCCCACCAGCACAGGTGTCAAAGACAGCCACAAACCCTCCAGCACGCTGTGACATCCCATAGCCAGGATTTCCAATGGGGGCGGCATAATTTCGTGTTAGGAATTAACATCTGGGATAGAATGTCCACCACTCAAGACAGCATTTTCCCCTGCGAGGAAGGAAATGTTTAAACAGCTCTGACCTCTCCATATCATCTTCATAAAACTCAGACCAGGGTTTTCTGACCCTTGGAAAACGATGGATGTGTTAAATGCAGGAAAAGCCAGAGAAGCCAGGAAAGAGGATGTTTTCCAGACATTTTAGGCTTTCTAGCCCATTTTGTTGAGGAGGGCTGCCTGTCCACCTGCGTAAGCAGGAGCTTTCTCCCCACTCATCTCCTGCTGACTTGATCCTGCCATTAAGGCCTAATCTGGCGATTTCCACTGTGGTGTTTTAGTAGCTGGGAAGCTCAGCAATGCAGCCAGCTCGGGATTATGACAACGGCGCAGTCTGGTCAGGTCAAGATGGGGGTGAAGGAGGAAAAAAACAGGCAGAAACCCAAAGCCAAGCATTGCCTTAAACCACATGGAAATGCATCAGCCACTGGCGAGCTTTGGCTGTCAGGAGATGAAGCTGTGGGAGGGCAGTAGCACCATCGACATGAGTGACAAATGCTATTTGGGAACAAAGCTGCAGTTCCAGCTGCTGCCATTTTCCACAGCTGTAGTAATTCTGGTTGACCTTTCCTCCTCTCTACTCTCCAGCTTCAGTGGAAATATTTTAGATATCTCTAACCAAAAAAGATGCCCTGTGCCTTCCTAGAACGTCAGTCAGCAGGATATTCCTGCCTCTCCCCTGCCTATGATCATTCCAAGCAGTACAGGAGACAAATGTCCTGCTCTGG